CCCCCCCCCCCCCCCCCCCCCCCCCCTCCGCGCCCCGCCGCCTCAGCGGCGCCCCTTCCCCACCCCCCAAAGCCGCCGCCACCGCCTCCGCCTCTTTCCCCTCATGCTCCCCGAGCGTCAAGAGCCCCATGCGCACGCAGCCGCCACCGCTGCTTCCGCCCGGCACCGGAAGTGAAAGGCCGCTTCCGCCCTGCTCCTGAAGGCGAGAGGCCACGTGCACCGCCTCTTCCGGCTCGCAATTGAACGCCGCGTTTGCTGGGTCCTCCGACGCGGCTGCGCAGAAACGCGGCGAGGGATCGTCGCGCGGGGCTATTCTACACGGGAGTTACTGGTTACTTTTAGAACCCGTTCGAAGAGGACGGAGGGGTATATATATATATTTTTTAGAAATAAATGGAATCATTGCAAATAGTCAAAAAGCCTTCCAGGTTTCCCACGGCATTGCATTTTTACTTTCTTCTACGCTGCTAAATGTCTTGATTCAAACCAAAAAAAAAAATAATAGAAAACAATGAGAATGCGAAAGATTCTCTCTTGACCTTTCCGAAATTAAAAATCCTCAGTGGGTGGATGGTTTATAGTTGCGGATTTTCAGTTTCCCTTGAAATCAAAAGTACAAATCAGGCACGCATCTCAGCTCAGCGGATTCCGATGGGATCGACCTGCAACGCCCCTCCATCTGGATCCAACTCACGGGGTGACTCAACCGTCAGTAAAACTCCTCCCCCCCCCCCCGAAAATGAGATGTGTTGTGCACTCAAGGCAGTTTTATACACTTCGTGGTTTTGGCTTCAAAGTAATTGGGCAACTCTGGGGAATAGACTCACTTTAAAATTTATTTTAAGTTCAGAAGCCCTACGAAGAAAGACCTTGTTGCCCATAAATTAACTTTCACGTCAGCACCGGAGCGGAATCCTTTTGTGATGCGGGCCGTGCAGCTGGACCGTCGGAGACGCATCTACCGTTTCCAGGGTGTTGTGAAGTGTTTCAGCGAGGGACAATCGTGTTTATGCCGTTTCCTGGCATCCATCGGATGACTGACAATAATATTTACTCTGACTTTCCACGCTCTCAGGAATACACCAACGGTTTCCAGCCAAATCTGGGGGAAAAAACACACACACACAAATTCAACAGGTCACTTTACTCCTCTTCTTGGAAGGTTGCCCGAGAAAAGCGGTGGAGAGGCGAACGACGTCGGTCGAGGCGCCAGGGGACGAGCGCCCGAGGGATCCGCTGCCAGCTGCGCCCTCTTAGGACCTTGGCGTCGTTCTGAATAAATCCATCCACCCATCCATCCATCCATTCTTTCGTCTTGCTAATTAAATGCACGCGCAGGAGTTCGCTACGTTGGACAGCCGGGGCTGCGCGCGATGGGCAACCCGGGCTCGGTCTCTCCAGCGAGCCGAGCGGCACTCGGTGTGACCTACCCTGCAGGGTGGCTGTGCCGGGGGAAAGGAAGGCGGTCCTGCCTCCCGCCTGCTCGGGGCCGGAGGTCGAGGAGGAGGAAGAGGAGGAGGCGGAGGCGGAGGCGGCGGCGAAGCGGGCGTGCGGGCGGTCGGCGTGGGACGGGATGGAGGCGGAGGCGGAGGCGGCGGCGAAGCGGGCGTGCGGGCGGTCGGCGT